ATCATACGTATTTGTCTATGAAAACAATTTAAAGCTGATTAAATATCAAAATATAAGTAAAATTAAGATAATTAAATAAATATGTCACACTTCATTGAGTAAGTCTCCGTTTACAAAAAAATATGAAATAAAGAAAGTTAGATGCATTTGGAATAGAGAATTGGGGAAAATAATTTAGGAGTTTATATGGACTTTGAAACTCTTTTTAATAGACTATCAAGTTTCTTTATTTGAGAATCTGTATCTAGACACAAGAACATGAAAAGCTTTCTCTGCAATTAGTATATTTTCTTAAATGCAATAGAGTTTTTGTTGCGTATCATTCAAGAAAGGTGTAATGCAAATCCCTTTAACCACTGCAGGTCAAGGGTATAATGATTGGCACAACTTAAATACTAGACTTGTAGAGCATGAATTAAGCATGGATCATATCCATAATTTACAAGCATGGAAGGAGGTCGATGTAAGATTGAAAAAGGGTGACAATAAATGCTTCCCGAGAACAAGCTATCAACAAAGAAAAAGAGTATTGGAGAGCTGTTTTGTAGATGACAACAATGGGAATTTTTTGAAGAACATGTCGGGCGTATTCGGAAGAAAGAGATCCGAAATCATTATCTGACACAACATTCAAAATGAGATGATCCAACTTTTGTCAAATGAAGTGAAAAAGAAGATCCTCCAAGTAGTGAAAAGTGCAAAGTATTTCTCTGTTATCCTAGATTGCACACCTGATGTTAGTCACGAGGAGCAAATGACACTCGTCCTAAGATGTGTTAATGTGTCTACGAGTCCAATTTGATTGGAGGAGTTTTTTATTACATTTGTGAAAGTTGTTGAGACATCCGGAGAAGCTCTCTTTCATGAACTTAAAAGACTCCTTGAGAACCATGAGCTTAATTTTAACAATGTAAGGGGATAAGGATACGATAATGGCTCTAACATGAAGGGAGACAACAAGGGTGTACAAGGTAGAGTCTTACGGGAATATCCTAGAACATTTTATACTCCATGTGGTTGTCATTTTCTCAACCTTGCCCTTTGTGATATGGCTATGAGTTGTCCGCAAGCAAAAACAGTTTTTGGTGTTGTTCAACGAATCTATAAATAGTTTTCTGGTACGTTTATGTTGTTTATATTTCATTAATTAACTAATCTATTTATTAAATAACTAATTTATTGTATAACTAGTTTTATTATTAAATTTTTATCATTTCAGATTCAACAAAACGATGAGAGGTTTTCAAGACTCGTGTTAAAGACCGTGATGGAAATGGTCTTACTCTTAAGTCATGGTCAAATACGCATTGGGAAAGTCGTGTTGTCAGTGTTAGAGCTATCAGGTTCCAAGCATCACAAATTAAACAAGCATTGGAGCACTTAACCAAATTTAGCAATGACCCTAGCACGGTTAGTGATGCCAAGTCTATATCTGATTATGAAATGAACTTTGATTTTCTTGTTGCTTTGGTCATATGGTATGAGATATTGAACAAGGTCAATAAAGTTAGCAAAGTCTTTCAACAAAGAGAAATGAATATGAGTTCTGCCATTAGTCTCTTGAAAGGTTTGATTGCATTTTTCAAAGAATATAGAGAAGATGGATTTGAAAAGGCCAAAGTTGAAGCTGAAAAGATTGCCATTGAGTTAGTTATTGAACCTCAATTTTGTGAGACACGGGTCCGTACTAAAAAATGGTTCTTTGATGAGAATGCAAATGATGAACCAACAAGGTCACAAGAGAATGCATTTAAAGTCAATTATTTCTTAATTCTCGGTTATTGCTCATTCTTCACTCTCTAGTAGATTTGAGCAGTTTCATAAGTATGATGATACTTTTGGATTCTTGTACAATTTGACTACGTTGAAGGGGTTGAGTGATGAGGACTTTATGTGTTATTGTGGCAACCTTGAAGAGTTTCTCAAGCATGGTGATGATGAGGACATTGACGCCAGTGAGTTACTTTCAGAACTACAGATGCTAAGGGTTTCAATACCAGGATGCACAAAAAAGCGATTGAAGTGTTGGAGTATACATATGAAAGATATACATATTGTTTTCCAAATGCTTGGATTGCCTATAGAATTTTATTGACCATTCCTGTGACTGTTGCAGCTGCAGAGAGAAGTTTTTCTAAACTGAATCTGATAAAAAACTATCTCCGATCAACCATGTCTGAAGATAGATTATCTGGTTTGGCTACTCTATCGATTGAAAAAAATGTTAGCTACTCTTGATTGTAGTGATGTTCTTAAGAATTTCGCTCTTCAAAAAGCTAGATGAATAGGTTATTTGTTTTTATCCATGTATTTTCGAACAATTTGGATCTTTTACTTTCGAAGAATATCCTCTTTACGTTAATATTATGTGATACATTTCATATATAATTCACTTCTATTTCATTTGGTATTCTTTTTTTTATATTGTTACATTAAATTAAATATAAGAACAAAATTTCTATACGACCGTCTAGGGCCTCACAATTGCTCTAGACAGCCCTACCCGTTTACCCAGCCCTAGTTTAAACATCTTTAAAAGCACATATATACTTCAAATGACCAAACTATTCTAATCACTTAAAACTTAAAAATAACAATGATAAAAAGGAAGAGAGGAGAAATCTAAAATTTAAACAGAATATACATATGTGAAATGGATTAAATAGATTTGAAATGTAAAAATGTTTCACTTCAAGATTGATCCATGCAGCTCCAGCATTGATGTCGTAACTCCCCAAGCTTAATAACACTACAAAAAAATTACGGGATTGACACAGAATTTGGCACGGATCTATCGATTTTTCGTGCCAAATAGCTCATGTCAAAGTGTTTTGGCACGAATTTAGCATATCCTTGCCAAAATCACTGCCAAATTCCTGTCAAAATCCTTGTCAATCCCATGTTTTTTTTGTAGTGTAATTTTCTTCAAATGCACAAACTTCCTTGACGCTTATTTATCACCACATGTCTTTAGTTATGCATTTAACAAAGAGAGATTGGAACTGGTATGTAGAATCGGAGTTTAGGCTCCAAAGTCCAAACATGTTGATTAATGTTGATTAAACTTGGTTTAGCCCATACTACTTGGGTGAAGTTAACTTTTTGGGCTAATAGTTGTATAAGAAATAATAAATTAGTTAACCCATAAGTTAGAGTTAGTAAAGAAAGATCTAGAATATTCTTTAGTTGATGTACCTAAATAATTCTATCGTAGTATAATATTATTAAGCTAGAATCATATAGAATATTATAGAATGTTAAGGAAATAGGAGTGCCTAGAATGATCATATGAGACCTATAAATAGAGCACCCCTCATGCATTTGTAATTCAAGCCAAAAGCTCCAAAATCAATAAAAATTCCAAGTTCTTCCAAAATCATCTCTCTCTAAAATTCTTTCTTTCACACACAATCACCCAAATATAATACTCATAAACTATTTTCTTCCCACAACTACCAGCAGCTTACCCAAATTAGCTCTTTCTTGAAACAGATTGAAGAAATATATTACGTGGAACAAAACAAACGGTAAGAGGGGCGACATAAGACACATCTAAACATTATTAATTAAATAAATTTATCAAAACATAAAAAATAGGGAAAGTTCCCGAAATAGGACTAAAATAGTTTCAAAATTCCAAAATAGGACTGTCATGTTTTTTATTCTCAAAATAGGACTAATTACTGCCATGTTTAGAAAATAATGACATGTTTAAAGTCTGGTACTGCCAAAAATGACAGTAATTAGTCCTATTTTGGGAATAAAAACATGGCAATTCTATTTTGGAATTTTCAACCTATTTTAGTCCCATTTCGGATAATATCTCTGAAAAAATACGATTGATCTGGTGATAGATCATAGATGCATTACCTTTATATGGAATGAAAGTCACCAAATCCAAGCTACACGATGAGCTTTAAAGTACTTGTGTAGAGTTTAAATTAGTGATATACGTCATACGGTGATGGCTTATAAACAAACTTATAAACTAATGTGTATTTTATGCACTAAACAGACCCTGCACACACAATGTATGTCATACTTTTAGACATTTGAATATATGAATACGATTTATTTTATTTGCAACACTTTAATTTCACGTTTGATGACATACGACCTTGACTATATATGTAATTCTGAAATTACTACTAAAATTTATTCCAAAAATCATATTTTAAGCTTTACTTTGTGAGAGATGTTACAATATTGTTATAATACTCCGTATAAGATTTTAATTGGTCGTAAAGTTAACTGATTTCTGTCAATCATAAAATTATTTCTAATAAACGAAAATCGTATACTCAGAAACAACATTAAAATTTTTAGGTAAAACTATTAAATAAGCTCTCGAACTTTCATAAAAAGTGCAAATAAGCCCTTTTACAGGAGGCTTTGTCCGGCTGTCGCCATTTAGGGAGGTTTCCGATGGAATTTTTTGATGAAATGTTTTGTGCATCGTCTTCATTAAGTCTAGTTTATCCATACCAAATTTCATCTAAAAATTCAATCGAGAAGGCAGTCGAATGATTTTCCGAAATATACTGCGCTGCCTAACTGCGTTGTTATCTTCAAAAATCCATTTGTCTGCCTTTCCGATTGAATGTTTAGCTGAAACTTGGTATGAGTAAACTAGACTTAATAAAGAAGATGCTAAAAAAAGTCATCAAAAAATTCCACCTGAAACCTCCCCAAATGACGAAGGCCGGATAGAGCCTCCTATAAAAGGGCTTACTTGCACTTTTTGTGAAAGTTCGAGGGCTTATTTGATAGTTCTTCCAAAATTTTATAAAGTCGCAAAAAACTCAAATGGAGTTTCACTTTATAGGCTTATGTGACTAACATGACAGTATTTACTGTCATCTTGTAGGCGTGCTGTCAAATAGTTGCAATACAATGCATTTAACATGACAATATTTATTATAATTAATGACAATATTTTTCTATCATGACAGTATTTTCCATACATGACTGTAACAACTCCTATTTCGGTAAGAAAAATATACTAGTCCTATTTTGGAATTCTAAATCTCATTTGCCCCTATTTTGGGCAATCTCCCTTTAATTAATTACATGGTAAGAGAATCTAAAAGTAAAATTTAGATATAGATTGAAGAATTGAACTCCATTGAATTTCTTTATGGAGTGCCATATACTCCGTAGTTCATAACAGACTTAAATGCTTTATTAAATACGAAAACACAAGACAAATTCTAGATAGACAGATCAGGCATTACCTAGGCAGGAAACTGTGGAATGAATGAATCACATAGACAGCAAGGGATTGGAGCTTTGACAAGACGTTAGCAGGAAGGATGACCAGCGCTCTGACCTTCCTCCTCGCTTTGGGTCTCTGGATTCTGGTGCGGTTCTTGTTGAAGCATTAGCTGTTGTGGCTCAAGCTGATGAACAATCTGTGGATGGTCATGCGGATGAGATTGGTCCTCCTGGAACGGATAACAAGCATTAGGGTATGCTCCCAAAGCCAAGGAAGGCGACATAGCCGCCGTCGGAGCAGTCGACTGATGATATCCGGTGGCTGTGACCGGCCCACCAGATTCGAATCCTCCATTATTAAGCCCCATGAGCTCGAGCTGCTGCGGTTGTTGCTGATCGTAAGCCCGGAACATGTCGGTCGGCTCCCCGATCATCAACGGATGATGAGATTCTAGTAACTGCTGATGCTGGCCAGGATGTGGATCGTGGATGATCATCTGCTGGTGCATGTTATACGGTGAAATCACTCCGGCGCCGGAAGTAGACGGATTATGATAATGATTGTGATTATTATTCGGTACAAACCCGGGTTGTGGGAAAAGCGGGGCGAGAGCATTCGGGCCGATGTAAGTTGCCAGTTCCCTCTTGGCACTGCTCAAATCTCGCAGCGTCTGTTTGAGCCGGTGCTGGAGAACAGATACTAGTCCGACGCAACCGTAAACCGGATCTCGCAGTCGATACTCCGCCTCGTACGCGAGCGAGTTGACGGCGTCTTCGCGCTGAGCGGCGTTGAGTTCGTTGAGAATTTTGGAGACGTTACTGGCGCCGAAGACCTTGTGGATATTGGCGAACTTCTGCGGCTGGTCCGGTGGGAAATATGGCGCAAAAACGCAATCCTGTGTGCATTTCCGCCGCTGCATCTTACAAGCCGCGCAGGGAGAATTCGCTGACGATGACATTCCTTTGGATTTGGTTATGAGCGTCTAACTTGAAACACAAATCATAAATGTGTGTATAAAAAAGAACTCATAATAAAATAACCAAATTAAATATTACTCTTTCCGTCCCGGAATTTATCTCCTTTTTTTCTTTTTTGACAAAGAATTTGTTATTCACAAACATTCTTACACATTTCTCTTTCCTCTGCAGAACTCTCTCCCACACATTTTCGACTATCTTAAAACTCGTGCTCAGTCAAATAAGGAGATAATTCTGGGACGGAGGTAGTAGTGTATTATTGACCTATCACTTGAACAAGGCAATGATTACTAAGTTAGAGCTCCTATTTGAAGGTGTTTGCCATTTCCAACCTCTTTTTTTCTTCCATTTATTGGAACTAATTCATACTTTCTAAATTTTGTAGATATGAAGAATATATAAGTAAATTTTAAGCAAGAAGAAAAAATTATTTTATTGATGCTCTTGCTCCTAAGGTTTAACTAATATTTCCTTCGTTCTTTTTTAATTGCAACGGTCTACTTTTCATGTTTGCCAACGCACAAGTTTGACCATTAATATCTTTCATTCCGTAATAGTAAAAAAATTAAAAAATTAGATTATAAAAATTTAAAGTGAGAGGAATTTAACAAAATTTTTTAAAATTTAATTTATAATACATTAATAAATAAAATAGAGTGAAAGTAGAACATGTGAATCGTGTAAAAAGTTAGAACATGTTATTCAAAAGAGAACGGAGGTAATTAAAACGAGGTTTTGCATAGTAATTAAAAAGTGAGAATTTGAGGTAGGAATGTTATGCACAAGAATGGAAAGATTTGATTATTTGGGGACTAGTGAGAAGAAAAATTGAAAGATAATTCAAGGATGGGAGAATAGTTGAAAACTTTTAAACATAAATGACAATTAAATATAAAAAACATAAGATCGATAAGATGGTCAATAAAAAAACATAAACTTTTAAAACAACAACTTTATCTTGTCAAACTCTCAAAAACTTATATAAATCACACAAGAGTGTCATATGAAGTGCTAAAATCTAAAAGTTAAACATTGCATATCTCAAATCTAAAATCTAAAAACAAATCTAAAATCTAAAAAATAACTTCAAATCACTAATATGGCAATAATTAATTAATTAATCAAAGTCTATTTTGAACTATTCTGAAATCTAAAATCTGTGTGCAAAAAAAAATGACATAAGAAATCTGAAAAATTAACAATCTCATTAAACAATTAAATATGAAGTTGTATGTATATATCACTTACATCTGAAAAATAAGGAGCCGTCGAGCCGAGAAGAGGAACTGATGCATAAAGAATCAGAAAATTAAAAACCTTGTCGAATGCTAAAAGGCTGAATATTAGAAGAGTTTTACTTTCCGAACGTCTGAAAGGATTGTGGAACGGCGATTACCCTTTTAAATTAGGGTACTGGTTTTTTAGATGGTAACAAATCCCCTTAAAATTAGTAGTATTCTTAGCAACGACTTAGTATTTATTGTTTTTTATTTTACTTTTCCGTTCTCTATTTTTTGTTCTTTTTTAAAAAACTTTGAGCTAAATAAATTCTAAAAATATTATTTCTACTTATCCAGGCTTTTGCTAACTTTGAAAGATCTATCAAGACAAGATTATTAAATATTATTAACATGTTTTGTAAATGATGCAAATTTTAAATTAGTTTATAAGAAGTTATAAATTAAAACCTATTTGTTTGACATTTCACTCACGTGTAACTTAAGAGTCTGTTTGGTAATACACAATTCACTGAATTGCGTCAACCCGCAAATATTGGTGAAATTATGACGCAAGTGACTAAATATATTGGATACATTGGGTAAAATTTAGCAAATTCAGAAGAAAAATAATTTCAATTTTTTTATTACTACATACGTAGTAATAATCAAGTGCGTCAAATTTAAAGTAATGTGTTTGAAAAATAAAAATTGACTTGCGAAACTGATAAGTCTAATATAGCACGTACGGGCTCCACTGTATGACTGTTTTTATCATCAATACACTCATACACTATAAGGTATAAGTATTATATCAAAATCATACTTCCTCACTTCCATTTTAATTGCAACGGTCAATATTTACGTAGTTTGACCATTAATATCTTTCATTCTATATTAGTAAAAAAATTTAAAAAATTCATATTTTGAAAATTTATAATGAGAAGAATTTAACATTATTTTTTTAAAATTTAATGTATAATAATTAATAAATAAAATATAGTCAAAATAGAATGTGAGAATAGTTCAAAAAGTTCAATGTTGCAATTAAAAGAGAACAACACTATTATTAGGTATCTTCCAAAATGCTAGAAGGTTTGTCTGATTTATCAAAAGTTTTTTGTATATTATAGTTTCCTGTTAACAATTTAATACTCCAAAAAAATAAAAGATGGGGCGTCCAAAATAAGTGAGACCTGTTCCAAATAACAAGATGGTACGTTCGTTCAAAAACAAACACAATAACATTTCAAGAACCCTAAAATTTTCCGGAAGGTAACGCTATACTTATCAACAATCAATTAGTTATACTACAATCATTGGTATTATTATGTATACAAATTTTTTTGAACGGATTATTATGTATACAATTATTATAGAGTATGGCATATGGGAGTTCTGCATAAATATAATGTTACGGAGTAATATAATTCAAATTTACCCTTTCACTCTTCGGAAATGTAAGTGGAAACTTTTTTCCTATCTTTATTAATAGATTTATTAAAGACATAAAAAAATATATTCATTAATCATAGATGCAATATATTCAGAAGTTTCAAGTTCCCATTTTTTGGAAAAAACAACTTGGAGTTCAAAGGCTTAGCATGTCCAAGCAACACGGTAAGTAATAAATAGCATAAATGCTCATACAGAAGTTATTTTATACTCTCTCCGTCCCTTATAATTTTGCCAACTTTCCTTTTTTTATTATCCCAAAAACTTTGTCACTTTCCTTTTTAATCAATCCATTTGTGGTTCCTGTTATTTCTTTCTCCTCTGTACAAATTTCTACCACACACTTTTTTATTTTATTATTCTACGTGTCAGTCAAACTTGGCAATCCTTTTAGGGACGGAAGGGAGTATATCCAATGAAAGTCAAGTGATGAACTAAACAAATACGAAGTATAAAAATTGGCAAGGACAATGCTCCACTTCAATGAGCTGGGCGACTCCAAACATATCGCACCAGAATCAGAAAACAGATGAATCTGTGAGAACTTGTTTTCAATTATATATCACCTTATCTTTCACTTTAAATATTACTGGGTAGTTCTTTTTATGGTAACATTTGATTAAAAATATTACTAAATCTTAAAATAAAAGAACTGACAAAATCTTGAATATGCCAGATAATAAACATAACTTAACACAAAAACTAAAATAACTCATCAAATAATTCATGAAGCAAAGAGTCTAAAATCATCTATTAAAAATCAATTAGTCTTCTTTCTTTCATTTAATTGAACAAACATGCACAAATGATAATAAACTTACCTTATAGATTCTCAACTCGAATAAATGTCGCACCTTGCCACCTTGATAAGGTCTCCCATTAAGCTCTTACTTGAAATCTTTATTTAAATTGTCAAAATTTAGACATTGTCTTAATGAGCCAGACAGCTAAAACTTTAAATTTCAATTTCCTGCTATACGCAGAAAACGTGACCTCCCAATTGACAATAAACAAATCTTCAAATTCAAAAATCATTTTGCAGCCGCTCATCAAATTTTGGAGTTAATTATTTAAATGATTGAGCAAATCATGCTAGAAGTCTAGAACAACCCAAATTAAAATTGCCACGTAACGTGTTTTTCGACATATCAAACTTATCGATCAATTTTTCACCAAACACGTAACTTTTGATTTCACGCGTTGAATTGTATAATAATAAGAAAAAGTAAGGTCAGAGTTACTTTTCAGCTTGTATTGGTTGAAGTTACTTTATGGAATCATTTTAGCTATTTTTTCATATAATTTTGTCTTTATTTTATTAATAAAAAATATTTTAAATATAATTTTTTTATAATCAGTACAATCAGTAAATCCAGCTATTTCAACCAAAACTTGATAAATTTCAGCAGAATCAACAAATTCAGTCAATTTCAGTGTTATCAAACGGGCTCTAAAAATAGAATCAGCTCTTTTTTTGGAAAACAAACTGGTGAGGAGTAGAAGAGTAAAATCGTAAAGCAGTCCATCTTCCAAATAAATCAGCAATTATTTTGTTCTATCTATTAAAGTCTCTTTGTGAATAATTATTATACTCATGATTGCATAGAAGACTTGGAAAAATTAAACATACCAGGCAAGATGCGGTGATACAAGGAAAAGATGAGCTTCAACAACAGGTTGAATAGAAAACTTTTGGATGAAGAGTATACAATGATCGACTGCTATATTAGGTATTTCTTTAGGGCTTTTAGTTTAAAAGAAAACATTTAATCGGGCCGAGACTAGGGGTGTAAACGAATCGAATCGGGTCAAATATTGTGATTTTGTATTTGTATTTGTTTGATTTTTTCGAATACGAATCCGAATTCGAATATGAAACGAATTTTATTTTTTATATGTATTCCTATTTGTTTAACAATACGAATTTTTAACGAATCATATACGAATATCGAATCGATTGGATCATAAGTTAAATATTAGTCACATAGTGACGTGCACTTTGTCACGGTGCGTCAAAATAAATCGATACTAGCACTAATATGTAGTATAGGTGAAGTAGAGTTCGTATCCACAGGGAAATGAATATTTTTCTTTTTATGAACTTAGTAAATACAAGGGGGGGTTTGGTGTTGAATGATTTAATTTAATTAAAAACTAAGATGAATGACTTATATGAGATTTAATTAAAAGATAAAAAGGACTTGGCATTGCTACTTTCCACTTGTTGATATATTTTAGTCGATCATTGTTATATCTATAACTTATTCCCTCTCGAATATTCAATCGAGGAGTATATCCAATTCATCGAGGGTAGTTATTAACAACGACCGTTCATTAATAACCCTTACTATTAGTCAAGTATAGAACACCACCATATACCGACTTGATAGTAGCATTTAATCTCTTAACTCCTTGATGAAATCAATTGAGATTGATAACCTCAACGCAACGGTTTCGGTTTAATCAACAAAATTAATCCCTCTTAAGTTTATCAATCACGACCGTGCATTAATAAACCGAAGTTACTTACTTGTGAAACCATCAACGATTAACCATCGGTTCGTCGGTCGTTTCTAGTAATAATTAATATATGAAACAAAACTAGTTGATCCTTTAAGTAATGTTCAAAATACTAATATCAAAATATTAGTTGAAATATGAATATGAATTAATTAATATTCAAGGAAGAATATTATTAAAGGAGATGAATCCTACTATAATTAATATCAAGATGTTAACTAATTGTCATCTTAGAACCACTCCTCAATATTAATATAGAGGAAGAAAATACTACTCTAACTAATGTCAAGATGTTAACTAATTGTCATCTTAGCAACACTCCCCAACATTAATATAGAGATAGTATTAAGGAGAGAACTAATAATTAATATTCAAGGGAAGAAGTTAAGAAAATAACTCACAACTTTAATAATCAACAAGCTTCAAGAGCAACACCAAGAATTGGAAGTTTAGCTCCTCATTTGGAGACTAAACATAGCTAGAAAAATATAAAGAAATGCTATTCTAAACTGAGCTAAAGAGTATGGAAGAAGGGATTATTATTTGTGAAGGAAAAGTACGTGTGCTATTTATAGGTGTTTTTCAACACCTTGGGCCGGGTACCCGACTGGGTCAAGTGCTCACCCAACCGGATCTGGTCAAAATCAGATAATCTTCCACGTTCTGGAGATCTTCGGCACGTTCTGGTGTTCCGGGTCAAATCTGACCCGACCGAGTGGAACAGGGGACCCGACCGGGTCCAATGATATTCCAGGCAATTTTGGTTGTTAAATCAGACCCGACCGGGTGAAGTCTTCTACCCGGTCGAGTAATTGCTTCTGGACCGTTGAAATCCCTTTTTCTTCACTTAAAAGTCCTCTTTTTCAACACCATAATTCGTAATTCTACTTTACAACTTACAAATGAAGGTTAAAATACAATTACAACTAAAATCACACAAATATTTACAAACTAAATAAAACGGTAAACAATCCACACAAATCAAACATAAAAAGATACATTTATGCACTACTAATTAGTGCATATCACATAGTACTTTAAAATAACTTTTCTATATTTCTTATGTTATAAATGCGTGCCAGTACAAATTGCCTTAGAATGTTTGTACGTATGTATATATGGACTACACTTTGAGGGTATATCTACCTTTTAAAAGGTTATTATAGTGTTATTACTACT